TTTTATTGTCTAAGACAAATGTTCCTATTATTGATTTTCATAAAATTATCTGCAATCTACACGAGAAGATACACTTATTTTAACGCAAGCTGACTTGCCTGACTTGTCTGTAGGTTAATGATAGTTTATTGAGAGTCCTGTGACTTAAGATGTTATTTTCTATCGCTGCTTAGCTAGAAAAGACAGGCGGATAATCACATGTTAGCACTCCGGATGGTCCTCGATCTCCTGACTCTAATAAGTTCAGAGCAAATTCCCCACTAAGTGAAGACCTCCCCATTTAAATTGGTTTTTATTTAAACTGTGAAATTTTTCAAGTTAATAATTTAGGTTTTTTTTATTTTTTTTTTTTTTTGCCTCCAAATTCAGGAAATCATCTTTGACAAATATTACTCCAAAAAGTGATCCACCCTTCTTGTCTTGGCCTCCCAAAGTGCTGGGATTACAGGCATGAGCCACCACGCCCAGCCAAAGATTCTTTCCTCAGTTGTATCCAGTCTACTAATAAGCCCATCAAAGGCATTCTTCATTTGTTAGTGTTTTTCATCTCTATGATTTCTTTTTCTTTCTTAGAATTTCCATCTTTCTGTGTACACTGCCCATCTGTTCTTGAGTGCTGTCTGTTTTACCTGTTACGGTTCTTAGCATATTAATCATAGTGTTTTACATTCCTGGGCTGGTAATTCCAACATCCCTGCCACATCGGAGTCTGGCTCTGGTGTTTGCTCTGTTTCTTCAAACTCTGCTTTTCACCTTTGAGTATGCCTTGTAATTTGTTCTTGGTAACCAGACGTGATGTACTGGGTAAAAGGAACTGCTATAAATGGGTTGTTAGCCGTGTGGTGGTGAGGTGTGGGGAGAGGGGAAGTGTGCTAGAGTCCTTTGAGATTCTAGGTCCCAGTCTGAGTGAGCCTGGGCCTCTGGACTGTGAACTTCACAAGTGCCTCTCAGTTTCTCTATCCTCCCCCTCCCACCTTAGGTGGGACAAGATGGCTGGAGAGGGCTGGAGGTGAGTATTTCCCTTCTTTCAGTTCGGTATGGGGCTCTGATAAAAGCTCCAAAGGTTAGGCTCTGGTTAAATCGTTTTTCCTGAGGGCAGACTTTGTTAGGAAGAACAGAAAGCTCTGGCTTACACCAAAATGGTTACTTCCCCCTCCCCCTGCTGGAAGCATGAAGGAATTTTTCTCTGCTATTCACTGTAAGCACCCGCTTGCACTCCTGGATAGAAACCTCACCGAAGGGTGGGGATACCCCTATGACGGGGTCCCCCTGGAGTTTCTGACTCTCAGACTTGTCTACACTGAGCCTCCAGCAGTTCATTAACTACAGCTTAAGGTTACTTGTCCAGCACTGGTTTCCACAGAGCTTTCTGCTCAGGAGTCTCTGCTCCGGTAAGTTGTGATTCGTTTTTTTCTTTTGTTTTGTTTTATTTTTGTTTTTGTTTTTTTGAGATGGAGTCTCACTCTGTCGCCCAGGCTGGAGTGCAATGGTGCGATCTCGGCTCACTGCATCCTCCGCCTCCTAGGTTCAAGTGATTCTCAAGCCTCAGCCTTCTGAGTAGCTGGGATTACAGGCATGTGCCACCACGCCCAGCTGATTTTTGTATTTTTAGTAGAGATGGGGTTTTGCTGTGTTGGCCACGTTGGCCTCAAACTTCTGACCTCAAGTGATCCGCCCACCTTGACCTCCCAAAGTGCTGGGATTACTGATTCTATCTCCCTGTCTCTCCAATTTTAGTGGCAGTGATTTGCTCTGTGACCTCACTTCTCTTATGGATCTAAGAAGGGTTGTTGATTTTGCACTTTATTCAGCTTTTTACTTGTTGTTAAAAGGAAGTGACCACTTCAAGCTCTTTACATACTGAACTGGAAAGTGTACTAAGTCTTTGAAACTTGGTGTGTGTTTAAAATTAGGTGATATATTACCCTTTGTATTTTTTTTGGTACTGTGTCTTTGAAATTTGGTGTGTATGTTACAGGATATGTTGATTAGAACAAGCCACCTGTTCATTAGCCACAAGTGGCTTGTGACTTCTATACTGAACAAAATAGTATTAGGTTGGTGCAGAAGTAATTGTGGATATTGCCAATGAAAGTGGCAAAACTGCAGTTACTTTTGCACCAACCTAACAGCTCTAAATGGAAGACTGTTTGCCTGAGAATCGGGTGATTAACTGTTATCTCAGGCATAAATCAACTTCCCACCTGAGGGTAACTAACTTTTTTACAATATTAGAAATGCAGTCCAAATACCCTAGGTGAGTTAATTCACTAGGTGGTAAAGATCAGCCAGTAGGCATTCACCTCATGTTTATCAGTCCTATGTAAAGCAGTTCCTTCTTATCACAGGGTTGCTTGATATTTAAATTAGGGGCCATTTCCTCCAAGACCCTGATTTTTTTTTTCTCTCTCTTGTTATTAAATTACTTCTGCAAATGTGGGTGTGGAGCTTGCCAGAATTTTTTGGTATTTCTCTGTGTCCAGTTGCCCACTAATGCGTCTTGCTTTTGTCCCCAACAGCAGGGCAAACTCAACCCGGGACAAATGAGACTTCCAACTCTCGGCCAGGTGCAGTGGCTCACGCCTGTAATCATAGCACTCTGGGAGGTGGAGGCAGGCAGATCACTTGAGGTCAGGAGTTCGAGACTAGGCTGGCCAACATGGAGAAACCCCATCTCTACTAAAAATACAAAAATTAGCTGGGCGTGGTGGCGCACGCCTGTAATCCCAGCTACTCAGGAAGCTGAGGCGGGAGGATCGCTTGAACCTGGGAGGCGGAAGTTGCAGTGAGCCGAGATCGCACCACTGTACTCCAGCCTGGGCGACAGAGTGAGACTCCATCTCAAAAAAACAAAAAGGCTTTTCAGCTCTCTAATACTCCAATTTAGTGGCAGGTCTTCTCAGAGAAGTAAGCTAAATGGATATTGTCAGACTCCTGCCAGCAGAGACCTTCTACATTTCTTAGATCAGGGAGAAAAGGGAATGTCTTCTCACCCTGCCCCTCCAACATACTTTCGCCCGTGGAGGCAGAGTGGCCACATTTCTTACCTGAGATTGCTGGTGCTTCTGGTAGAACTCAATCATGTTAAAGTCACCCAGGTCAACCAGCAGGCCTTGCTTACACATCTCACAGGTCTTCACGGCACCAAGATCTGCTCCTTAAATTAGATAAAAGAATTATATGTACATATAACCATGGGTCTGTTTGTGTTAGCACTTTGGACAGGTGATACTTGGAGAGTGAACTTGTGTGTGTTATGAATTCTGAGCTTGAGTGACCTTCCTTTAAAGCCAGCCATCTTCTGTAGAACATGACCTTGAATCTGAGAGCTGAAAAATTTCCTTTGTAGTCATCCATTATGCAAGCTTCATAGAAGTGAAATTCCCATGACTTTTAAATAGCAGATCTTGCTTTCTATTTAAATATAAACATGATGGTTCATAAACTTGGAATTGCTGCAGAGAGGCTAAGAGTCTGTAACACAGGTGTTTGTAAAAAGAGTGAATATTCGGCTTTTCTTTTTTCTTGTAGACCCAACACAGGTCCAAGTAAATAAATTAGTGAGGACCAAAATAGATGGTAGAAGCTATTCTCGATCAATGGCTTAAAAATCTGCCTTTGCTCTTGCCAGGTAACATTCCCACCTGAGAACAGTGAGGGAGCGAGGGGCCAGGTGTGGGCGCTAGTTACAGGAGTACCTGCGGCCAGCTCATCAACCTGAGCTCAGACTCATCTGGGAAAAGAAATATGAGAAGGCTTCCTTTGTTGCTGTTTTTATAAAAACAGGCATTCTACGTCAGCGTTTTTATCCTACTCCCCAAAGCGAAAGTGGAAGATGCAGAACTGGGCTGTTATGTCTAAGCAAACATTCTGTCAGACAGGTCTTTTGTCCCCCCTTAGTTGCGGCTTTTGACTAATGATGTACTGGTGTTTATTTTATGCATTAGAAAATAGAAGACCTATTAGTTACCTGCATGTGTTTGGTAAAAATAGGGCTTGTGCAGTTTCATACCCCTATTCTATTTCCCCACTGGGGATATAAAGAAATAGTAAATAATAGAGACTTTCAAAGGGCAGGGATGAACAGTAAGTAATCCCTTATCTGCATTTTGTTTCCTTGACTTTTTTTTTTTTTTAGCATCATTCAGTAACGCTTTAGGCTACCGAATGTCCCATGTGTCTTCCGATCGAATCCTACTGAACACATCCATACAAGCATTGACATTTATGAGCATAGCAGCATTTTCATGACATGTTTCATGGGTAACTTTTTCTGTGTTAGATGTTAATTGGCCTAAATTTCTAGGAAGATAAAGGATTGCATGGCAGAGCTGTTAACCAAAATCCACTCGTTTCTTCCCTCTCTGAAGGACTGAATACTTTGCTCATTATATGGATATGCATTTAAGCTTCTCGATCAGTGGACTTACATTTCTTATGCTAGGGAAGTTGCATAAAATGGGCTGCATGGGTGAGACAGTAATATGATTACCCCACGTGTTCGTTCTGATTCCATGGTGTGCTGTTCTTGGTGAGGGGGCGTGGCAGCATCTCATGAGGATAGAATAAAGCTCTAAGTCTCCCCGCAGCCTGGAATAGTGACGGCTAAGGAGAAGGATATGGAAGAGGGGGAGAAATAGGATCTGGCTGTGGGGTGATACGTTTTCAGAGAGGTGTGTCTGAAAGAAGTCACAGCTATTTTCTGATCAACTTGCTCTTTGCACTGACGTTCCATGTTTTTTTTTTTTTTTTTTTTGGTTAAAGTTGATCTCATTCCTAAAGCCATGCTTTAAAGAAATCTTCTGTTCTCTGCCCAGAAAACTACAGCTGACCTACCGATGTGGTTGTATTTAGGTTATAACCTGCTCAGGGAGTTGAGAAGGGGCTGCACACCCAGTTATAAGATGCTAGGGAGCTGACAAAATCCGCACGTGGGAATTTATCTCATATGGTTCTAGACAATCAGATCAACGCTCTTATCCCTATTGCTAAAAGGCAGCTTTGTTTAGTTTCTTAGGTGACCCCCAAATAAAAGGAAGTAGCATGCGTATGCTGGGGGTCTCTCATGAGGGACCTTCTGAAGTATTTTGCTGGGTGTCTGCTAGCTGGGCATGGCTACCGTGTGTCTGCTGAGCTGCCACCACTGACCCACTTCTTCTATTTCCTTCCTCCTGAGAGGCGATCTTAGCATCTTTGCTGAAGCCTCAAGCAGAGGTAGAATTCAATAGTATTTGTTTCCAGAAGTATTTTCTCAGATTAAAAAAATAACAAAAAACAAACAAACAAATAAAAAAACACAACTCCCTCCCATAAAGACAGTTCTTATGAGCAAGAATCCGGAGCTCAGCCACATGTCCCTGAGTCGCTGTTCTGCGGAGGAGAGTGAGCTGACGACAAGGTTCCGAGGCCCACACCGTGGTGCCTCGTGTTAATTACATGTCGTGGCACGTTCGCTGCACTTCCTTCCCCACCTACCTGATGTTATTTTCACTTTCAGCCACTTTTTCAGGCACTCTTGATGAACAAACCGCAGGCTTCCCACACAGCCACAAGGCTCCAGGAGGGGGTTGCTTGGGGAACCCCCGGCTATCTGACAGATGCGACACAAGTCTCCCTCCTCCTCGGAGTCCTCCTCCAGGAGACTAAATGGAAAATAAGCCCTCGTGACCAGGAGGCTACATGTTTACAGTTTCTACACATACCAGTTCCCAGGGCATTGGCAGTAAAGGAAGAGGGCTCCTGGCACTCACCCACTGCCCCCTCTGACCCTACTGAGATGGTTTTTAATAATAAAGGCACAAATTCTCTTGTTTTTTTTTTAAAAACAGAGTCTCACGCTGTTGCCCAGGCCGGAGTGCAGTGGCACAATCTTGGCCCACTGCAGCCTCAACCTCCTCAGGTTCAGGTGATCCTCCCACTTCAGCCTCCCAAGAAGCTGGGATTACAGGTGCATGCCACCACACCTGGCTATTTTAAAAATTATTTTGTAGAGATGTAGTCTCACTATGTTGCCCAGACTGGTCTTGAACTCCTGGGCTGAAGTGATCCACATGCCTTGGCCTCCCAAAGTGCTGGGATTCTAGGTGTGAGCCACTGGGACTGGCCGAGGCACAGATTCTTGTAACAGGCTTCTTTACAATTGTCGGTACGTGTGAGCTGACCTGGAAGACCAGCACGGCCACCATAAATCAAGAGGTAAAGGGATATGGCTACAGAATCATTTCCAAACTGCAGTCAAGGCCACGAGCCCCTCTCCCTGCCATAGGAAGTTGGTGGGGGTGGCATACTGGTGAGTGCATAGGATTCGTGGTCAGGGGGCCTGGGTTTGAGGCCAGCCTCTGAAACTTGTCAGTTGTGTGACGTTGGATAAGTTCCTTAATCTTCCCAAGACCCTGTCTCCTGTACAATGTACACTGGGGGTCTGTACAATGAGGGTCATGGTGATAAACGCCACTGCCACCTGCTTCCCAGGGTTGTGGCCAGGCTGGCTGTGCGTGATGATGAGGAACATGTTCTGCAAACTGTAAAGTACATCTAGTGTCTGGCAAGGTGTTGCACACAGAGTTCACTTAATAGATGTTGGTTTAGGTGAATGATGAACCAATAAACCTGGACACAAGCTCCCGAATAACACCACACATGCCAACAAATGACGTCAGCATTCCAGAATGTACGCGGCTGGAATCTGATGAAGATAAGAACTAATGAAAATGTAAGGAAAGATATTTGTGTCTAATAAATGGTGAGTGAAGAATAGCTGGTCGATGTTTATGTTGGGAGGTTTTAAGAAGCCTAAGGCTATTTTCTTTCGAGTCCTCGTGGGACTGGGGGCCGTCTGGTCAAGGGAAAGAAACTGGCTAGAGACTAAAATCAAAAGAGGAAGAAACGGACATTGCTCTGGATGTAGAAATATATGCTCAGTTTCTTGAAAGACCTTTTTCCCTATGAAAGAGCAGCTCAGTGTAAAGGAGCAGAATTACAGTTTTCCATTATGGACATTCTCAATAACTTAGACATTTTCAACATTTAGACTTTAATACATTTCAACATAGTTTCCATATTTTCATAAGTAATTAGGAAGAACATGTGTACATGGGAGTGAGTGCTCCAACTGGTGAAAACTAGAGGGAGACCTTGAAAGTTTGAGAAGGTAGGCAGAAAAGTGGTAGAAGATTTGTTGTTGTTGTTGTTGTTGTTTGTTTTGAGATGGAGTCTCGCTCTGTCACCCAGGCTGGAGTGCAGTGGCTCAATCTCAGCTCATTGCAACCTTTGCCGGCTTCAAGCGATTCTCCTGCCTCAGCCTCCTGAGTAGCTGGGATTACAGGCATGCACCACTACACCAGGCTAATTTTTGTATTTTTAGTAGCGATAGGGTTTCACCATTTGGCCAGGCTGGTCTCGAACTCTTGACCTCAGGTGATCCGCCTGCCTTGGTCTCTCAAAGTGCTGGGATTAGAGGTGTGAGCCACAGCACCTGACCTAGAAAATTTTTAATTTGGGCAAGTACGAGGGATTTGCATTTGGAAAGAAGTGCTCTAAATCAGTGGTTTCCAATAGAAAATAAATGACCATCGGGTTCACCGGTAGAGATTTTACAGATTCCTGGGCTCCACCCTTAGCGGTTCTGGTTCAGTGTCTGGGGTCCAGAAACCTGAATGTTAAGATGGTCATGCAGGTCTGAAGATCACTGATCTCAACAGGAGGAGGAAGGGTTCTATGGTGAACTTGTTATGGTTGATAAATATCTGACTCTTAACTTAAGGTCCTCCATCTTCTCAAAGGTATAAGTGGGGATCCACTGGCTACCTTACTTTGCAAAAAAAAATTTTTTTTTTTTTAACAAATAAAAGTGAAGAAGAGACAGAAAAGCACTGAAAAGAAAAGGAGAATCAAGCATAAAATCAATACCCCAAAGTAACTGCTTGTTAATAGTTGAGTCTGGCTGGGAACAGTGGCACACACCTGTAATCCTAGCACTTTGGGAAGCTGAGGCAGGAGGATGGCTTGAGCTCAGGAGTTCAAGCCCAGCCTGGGCAACACAGCGAGACCTTGTCTCAAAAAAAGAAAAGAAAAAAATATCGTTTGGTGTACTAGCCTTTGGTATTACTTCTGTGCACATTGTTTTACAGAATTGAGACTGCTTTTAGGATTAGCTCAAGATAGCAGGCTAAGCACCCCCATCAGTCTCCTTTCCCACACAAATCTCTTAAAAAGACAAAAAAAGAAAATTCAATAGAATGAATCCACAATAGTGCTGGAAAACAAGCAGGCCAGAAATGAGGAATTCTTGGAAAGTTGATGAAGATATGATGATATTGACTAGAGGAAAGGAAATGGCAAACCAAGGCATTCTCACAGAAGCATCGAGAAGGGAAGGGCAGACCCAGGGAAATTCCAGGCTTGGGCTGCACCAGTGCAGGGGATGGGAGGGTACGAACTCAAAAACTGCTTCAGCACGAGGGGACCAGCTGCTGCCCACTTTCAGATACCCTGTGATGCAGGCAGCACAGTGCCTCTCCCAGGGGAACATTCTGTCATTGTATTCCAAAGAAAGGGAACTCTCCATAAAGGTCAAAGTTTTTTGTTTTGTTAGAGACAGGTCTCACTCTGATGCCCAGTGGCAATCATAGCTCACTGCAACCTCGAGCTCCTGTGTTCAATTGATCCTCCCACCTCAGCCTCCCAAGTAGCTGTGACCACAGGTGCACGCCACCACACCCAGCTAATTTTTTCTTAGAAACAGGGTCTCCTATGTCGCCAGGACTTGTTTCAAAGTTCTGGCCTCAAGCAATCCTATCTCAGCCTCCCAAAGTACTGGGACTGTGGGGAGTGAGCCACCGCACCTGGCCACAGGTCAAAGTTTTTCAAAAAGTTCATGAATGACATTCAATTACACAAAAACCTCCCATTCAGGAAAGTGGATCTCAGAGGAGAAAAAGCACACAATTGCTGGGGACAGCATGCTGGCCACCTCTCTCTACTAAACCACCCATTCCTTCCTTCATAAAACAACTGGGGGCCACCTGTCACATGTGGAAACCACCAGCATGAATGAGAGGGGACAAGGAAAATAAGTCAGCTGACTCTAGAGGAAATGAATTGTTTAATGAAGGGAGGAGGTAATTCTCAGGAGGATTCAGAGGCTATTGGCAGCTGCTATGTAAAAGGAACAACAAGAGATAAGGAGGATTTCTGGGGATTTAAAAAAATGTGATTAACAAAATAAAAAATTCCAGGTGAAACAATATTAATAGACAAAATATAATTCAGGCTAAAAGTCTAAAGCTAGATATTGATCGATCCACCAAGAAGAGATCAGCCATGAGCTTTAATGCACGAAATAAAAGCAAAATTCTTATACATGCAAAGGAGAATGGGCAAATCCAAATCATACTGGGGGATTTTAATCAATCTCTTTTAGAAATTGACAAACTCAATGGAAAAGAATAATGTATGAAGGGTTTTTTTATGTTTGTTTGTTTTTGTGACAGGGTCTCACTCTGTTGTCCAGGCCGGAGTGCAGTGGCAAGATCTTGGCTCACTCTAGCCTCTGTCGCCTCCTGGGCTCACTTGATCCTCCCACCTCAGCCTCTCAAGTAGCCGGGACCACGGGCACATGCCACCACCCCCGGCTATTTTTTTATTTTTATTTTTTGTAGAGACGGGCTTTTGCCATGTTGCCCAGGCTGGTGTCGAATTACTGAGCTCAAGGAATCTGCCCACCTTGGCCTCTCAAAGGGTTGGGATTATAGGTGTGAGCCACCGTGCCTGGCCTGAAGGATTTTAACATATGTATTTTATATATATATGCCAACAAAGAGAGAAGAGGGAATGTACAACCTTTTCTAATGCCATAGCATATTTATAAGTATTGAATATGTATTAGGGCACAAAAAATACTGTTCATATTTTCTGAGATCATAATATAATTAAATTAGGATGGGCAATAAAAAATTTTGAAAAGAGGGTAACAAAGAGATTTTATATATATTCACATATAGATGATATATATTTATTATGGATAATTATACTAAAAATATATTTAATCTATATGTGTATATATAGAAATATATATGTATACACATATAAATATATATGTATAAATATATACATATATATATTTTTAGAGACAGGTTCTCACTTTGTCACCCAGTCTGAAGTGCAGTGATCATAGCTCACTATAGACTCGACCTCCTGGGCTCAAGGGATCCTCCTGCCTCAGCCTCTAGAGTAGCTGGGACTACAGACATATGTCATTACACCCAGAGAATATATATATTTTTGTAGATATAGGGTATTGCTATGTTGTCCAGGCTGGTCTTGAACTCCTGGCCCCAGGTGATCCTCCCACCTTGGCCTCTCAAAGCACTGGGGTTAATGGCATGAGCCATCATGCCTAGCCATCAAATATTTTTTAAAAAACATAAATCAGCCAGGTGCGGTGGCTCACGCCTGTAATCCCAGCACTTTGGGAGGCCGAGGCGGGCGGCTAATGAAGTCATGGATTTGAGACCAGCCTGACCAACATGGTGAAACTCCGTCTCTACTAAAAATACAAAAATTATCCGGGTGAGGTGGCACCTGCCTGTAATCCCAGCTACTCAGGAGGCTGAGGCAGGAGAATCGCTTGAACCTGAGTGGT